GTTATATGAATATATGAAATATTAATTTATTTTCCGCGATACGCGAGCGTGTAAAAGGCTTTCTAAGGGAAGATATCGAATAATCAAACGGCGTGAAATAGGGAAGCGTTATATGAAATATTAATTTATTTTCCGCGATACGCGAGCGTGTAAAAGGCTTTCTAAGGGAAGATATCGAATAATCAAACGAGGTTCTGGCGTGAAATAAAAATCATTTCTCGGAAAGTATGAAACATAAAAGGGATTACTATTATGATATCAATAGAAGATTTTTGTCGATAATTGGTCAGTGGCCTTATCAGAAGCCAAAAGCAAGACTATTCTTCTTGGCTTTCGCACTCATGTTTTTGTTTAATTCTCTCGTTACGCAGGTAATGTTAATTATTGACAACAGAATTTTTTGAGTATTACGTATGGCATTAATATATTTGTTATGACATTCTGTATTATATTGAATAGATTGTTCGAATTTCTAGAGCATTTTGTATTTTTAATATATATATATTTTTACATTTCTTCATAAATGATAAGTATATTTTTCAGATAGCACATATGTTTCTATGCAAAGACATGGAATGTATTCTTCAAACTTTGTCTATATATTTTTTGATGTTCAATACTGTGGTGAAAGTGCTCACATATCGATTGAAAAGTAGGACAGTACGTTTTATCAGTACACATGTTATTATACATAGTGTGGTTCTTAAATGATGTGTGCGTCCGATGGTAGTGAAATTTTTGCAATTGATAGAGTTGTCTTTAAGCTTTAAAACAGTACTAATCGTTGTGCCAATCACACAAAAAATAAAAGATAAAAATCAATACGGTTATTTAATAGCCGTATTACGTATATTAGTTGTATTTAATTTTACGCTACACACACAAATACAAATTACAAATTTTAGTTTGATCTTGCTTATATGTTTTCATAGCTATTGAAAATATTATATTTAAATGGATCGATAACATTTCTAGATTAAAGATCTCACTGATCACTTATTCGCAGACTGGGATGTTCTCGAGACTCGAAAGGAAGAACGTGAAATTTTGGAAAGATACGCTAAGAAAGGCAGGCGATACGTGTTGATATATTCCAGCAAGTAACTCTCTTGCTTTTTAATTAAGAAATTTTTTTAAAAGATAATGCGGAGAACCATTCATCCGGCTTTAATTATAATAAGGATGTATATAAAAAAAACGTATTACACATTTATATAAATATAAACATCTACAAGATATAGCAGACGTCAGTTTTTTTACGAAATTGATTTTTATTGTAGTGTACTTGTATGTAACTGCTATTTCATTTGCAACAACTTCTCTCTGGCCACGTATCATGGATGCGGTCTTTCCTCTAAATACTTCACGTCCAATAATGTTAATGTGGCAAGCGTACTATTTCGTTGATGAAGAGAAATATTACAATTACATTTTTTGCGATATGCTAATTATCCTCATGATATGTCTAGCCGCATTAATCGCGCATGATACTATGTTTTTTATTTACATTGAACACGTTTGCGGTCTTTTCGCAGTAATCGGGTAATAATAATATCTTATATTTAAAAAATATTGAAATTTATATAATTACAATTTCCGTTTTTGTACATTTACTTAAAAGTCAAAAAGTACAAATTTTACAAGGATTTAATTTGCCTGAATATTTGCAGATTTAGATTTACACATTTGATATATAAACGTGATATCGCGAAAAAGAGCCAGATTGAGTATCCGAACGACGTATATTACGAACATATTGTATTTTCAATCCATGCACATCGAAAGGCTCTGCGGTGAGTTTGTACCGATATCGAAATGAGTTTTTTTTTTGTTAATTTTAAAGTCACTTAATAAACAATTTTTAATAATTACGATGGATTATGATGAATTTATGAATTTCATTTATTTGTCTTATTCTTACTATAGGTTTGCGAAACTCATTGAAAATGTTTTTTCGAAGTCATTTGCTATACAACTTATAGTAAATACGATTACTATTAGCGTTAGTTTACTTCAAGTAAGTTTTTTGTAATTAGATATATCAATATATCAGAACTCCGAAAAATATAAAATGCAGGTCTAAAATGCATGATTTTACTTAAGCTCTCGAGGCATTTGAACGATTTAGAGGAAATGATAAGATACTTCATCTATATTATTGCTCAACTATTCCACTTGTTCTGCTTCAGTTTCCAAGGACAAAAATTGATAAATCATAGTCTGGAAACTCGCGACAAAATGTAAGTTAATATGAGAGCTGTGTTTTTTTCAATATAAGAAATTTATTTTTGATATGAAAATATTTTTGTAAATTTAATCATTTCTTGTGATCACTACCATATTATTACATTTATTTTGTTTATGTACAATATTAATCTCATAGTTATAATGGTGCATGGTATGAAATGCCCGTAAGAGACCAAAAACTGCTCTTGTTGGTAATGAGAAAAAGCATGGAAGCTAGTACTGTGACTGCCTGCAAGATATATGTGTTTTCTTTGCAAAATTTCACAATGGTAAAGCACAATTATTGTGATAGATATTATAACTTGATAAAGAAAGGCACATATATATTATATGTATAGTGTATAACATATTATACAAGGTGATACGCATCGACCGCCCACTAAGTAGATAGCGTTATTCCTTACCAAAAATTAAGTCAAAAAGTCCTAAACCATTCTTTTTTATAATACTTAATAAAGGAGTTATTATTGAGTAAAAGTCTTTACTTAGTGGGCGGTCGATGCGTGTCATCTTGTATAATCAGACAAATGTAAAAATTTTAATTGTCCTAATTTAGGTTCTACAAAACGCGATGTCGTACTTTATGATGCTATCATCCTTCAGTGAATAACTCGATTCGAATTATTATAGCATACGCAGTGAAATAAGGCTGAAAAATTCTGTAGAAGAATATAGTATTATTAATTATATCGAAAATATAAATATATTTATATTTTATATCATATAAAATGGGACATTGTAAGAACAATAAAGTGTTATTTTGCTATCGATGTGTATTTGCATATCTATTCGATACAATATACATATTACTATAGTTTCTTTTTCTTTTAAATTACACGATATTATTTATTATTATTTATTTATTACTATTACCAGCTACACATTTCATGTTTCGATATTAATGTGAACACGAGTCCATCAACTGACTTTATTGTAGAAGTCTTGCGCTGAACTTATAGGTAGAAGCTGTGTGGAGAAGTCTGAATTATATAATCGAAAGCGAAGGAACTGTATGCGAAAGTCGTTCGCCGAATTTTACACTGTACTTTTGTAAAAAAAAAATTATGAACTTTTGCACAAGATTGGTATAGAGTATCACTTGACTGTTCTGTGTGATGACGATTATTCTTTACATCTTCTATAACACATCTTTCGGCATATTCAATATATTCGTATTCAAACTGAGAAACATTTCTCAAAGGGTCAGCTTATCACAATCAATGAAACGTTGTCAATTCGAGCCTACGTTATATTTACGCGAGACACGTATTTATTATATCTATCAGTCACGGAAACCCGCACGGTTGCTATGTCGGACGCTCCGGGAAAAAGAGAGAAAGACAGAGATAGCGGTATGTAAATATTAATTTTTTTCCTGCTGCGGGAAAAATTTCGAGGGTAAAATTCTCTCGGACATTCAAATGACATTTGTGCATCGAAGAAAAACTATTTCAAAGTATGGAATCTAATATGGATTACTACTACGATATTAATAGGAAATTGTTGTCGTTTGCCGGTCAATGGCCATATCAGAAACCAAAGGAAAAACGGTCTTTCTTGATTTTGATACTCATAATTTTAATTAACATAATAATAACACAGGTAACATTAACTGTCATTTAAAAAATTTTTTGTGAATTTAAGCTTTATTAAAATTACACGATGAATTGAATAGATTTATCAGACTTTCAAGCATGCATTTTTATTTTCATTTTTCAAATGTTCATTGTTTTTGCTGCGATCAACTTCATTTTTCAACTTTTTGTGAATATAAGCTTTCTTGAGATTACACGACGAATTACATAGATTTATCGTATTTTAAAGACATCTTGCATTCTCAAAATATTTATTCTTTTTCACACAAACAACTTCGTTTTTTAGGTAGCACAATTTTTCATATGCGAAGACGCGCAGTGTATCTATCAAACTTTACCTCCACACATGTTAGCAATAATGATATTGGTGAAAATATTTACATTTTATTTTAACAGACAAAAGGTAAAATATGAATAATTTATATAGTAATTTTGTCTCTCATTCTATTGTATTGTATACAAATAAAATTTTCCTGCAAAATTTCAGCTTAAGATATTGTTATGACAATTGGCGATAGTTTCTTTCTCTCTCTCTCTCTCTCTCTCTCTCTCTCTCTCTCTCTCTCTCTCTCTCCCTCTCTCTGAATCCGAGATTTTAAATATATCGGTAATACTTGCAGATTAAAGTCCTTACAGATCGCTTGTTCATAGACTGGGATATGTTCGAGAATGAAGATGAACGTGAGATTATGAAAAAATATGCTGAGACTGGCAGGTGGTACACATTGATATACGCTTGTAAGTAATCTTTTTTTATTTCAATTAAGATATATATTTTATAGTCAAAAATATTACAAAATTTAGATTAATAGTATTATGCCTGAGGATCTTTATAGGAAAAACAATCTGCTTGTATTTGTGATTATCTTCCTAAATTTTCATTACATATCGAATAATGTTGCCCTATTAATTACCTCTGCTATATACACTTATTGTATTTTTAAAATCATGGCTCAGATTTAAACTTGCATTACTTTTTTTGACTCCTACTTTCCTAATAAATAAAAATTAATATTAAAGAATTTAGCTGAATTTGAATTCGCAAACTATCATTTTTTAATAAAATTTCTTTTAAATCTTTCTTTAATAAAGTTTCTTTTAAATTCTACTTTCCTATTAAATAAAAATTAATATTATAGAATTTAGCTAAATTTGAATTCGCAAACTATCAGTTTAATATGCATCTTCTTTTCGAATTATATTTTCTTGTTTTTTGCGTAATTCTTAATTTTTTTAAAAGTATTATTATAAAGGGGGATGTTTATTATAAAGGAGGAATGCTATTTAGTTTGTTTTTGACACGCGAATTTTATTTTTGTTGTAGCTTATATTTATATAGGTACCATCTCATTTACAACAACTGCTCTTGTGCCACGCATTTTGGACATCATATTTCCTTTGAACACTTCCCGTTCGATAATATTAGCGTATCCGGCGTATTATTTCGTTGACGAGGAGCAATATTTCTACTATATTTTTTGCCATATGCTAATTACAGCAGCATTAAGTATGACTGGATTTATCGCGCACGATTGCATGCTCTTTGCTTACATCGAACACGTTTGTGGTCTTTTTGCCGTGATTGGGTAAGATTTTGCCGTGATCTTTTATACTGGAATCGAACTGTTATGTTGTATCGAGAAAATTAATAAAAAATTTCTCATCGAAATAAAGAATAAATAGCGTAATAACATTTTTAAAACTATTGCACTTTCGATTGAAAGGCAAAAATTAATTTAAAAAAATTTACAAATATGTAAATTGCACGAATATTTGCAGATATCGATTTAAACATTTATCGTATAAAAATGATAATGCAAAAAAAAGCATGATTAATTATTCGAATGACGTGTCTTACAAAAACATTGTGTTTGCAGTTCACGCTCATCGAAAAGCCTTGCAGTGAGTATGTAATAATATTGTAATATATTTTCTTCATTAATCTTAAAGCCAAGCAATAAACAATCTTTGTTATTCGCGATAGATCATTATCTTTTAATGAATAATATTTAGTCGTCATTATTTTATCGTCTCTTCTTACCATAGATTCGCAGTACTTCTTGAAAGTACTTTTACGGTGTCGTTCATTATACAAATTCTGATAGTTACAGTCGGCATGAGCATTACTTTAGTACAAGTGAGTTATTTACAGTTTGATAATTATGTAAGAGAGCTCTGAAAAATATAATATATATGTAGATTTAAAACATTGATATATTTTACTCTATCCGTATTCAAGTTCTCGATACAGTTGCACAATTTAGCGGAAGCAACGAGATATATGGTTTTCATTGTCTGTCAACTGATGCACTTATTTTGCTTTAGCTTCGAAGGACAAAAATTGATAAATCATAGTCTCGAAACCTGTGACAAAATGTAAGATAATATCAGAATATTGAAGTAAATTAGCTATGTATTTTTTTGACCGATATACATTTATTAAAATATTTACATGAATTTAATTACTTTTATACTGAAGTGATCAACTTTATTACTATATTGTTATATTACTACGTTGTGTACAATGTTAGTTTTGTAGATTTTATAGCTCATGGTATGAAATACCCGTGAATGCGCAAAGATTACTCTTGATGGTGATGAGAAAAAGCGTCGTAGCTAGTACTTTGACTGCTGGCAAGATATACGTATTTTCTTTAGAAAGTTTCACGACGGTAAAGCAATCATCGTGATAGATGCTACGATATTATAAGAATAGGCAAAAGAATGCGTAAAAATTTTTAACTTATCCTTATTTAGGTCTTGCAAACTTCGATGTCGTATTTTACGGTTTTATCATCCTTCAACGAATAAGTTGGCAGCCAACGGCTATAATAGAATGTACAACATGAAAAATATCTCACTTCGATCTGGTTTCCTCTGCTCTTGTAATTAATTTATATACACATTACAACATAGTTTGTTCACGGATTATAAAACGGATTATAAAACTCGCGCAGATGACTTTATTCTGCGCATAATTAAAGACATAATTAAAGGCATTATAGATACTATTATATAATTATAACTTTTAGTTATACAAATAATAAAATATAACCTACTTTAGACTATAAATCATTGAATTGAAGAAAAATGTATTAATAATTTTATGTATTTTGTTCTGAATTTTGTCGAGAATTATAAATCGTCTAAAGCTAACTAAATAAATATAATTTATATTGTACATATTTTGATATTTTTATTTTACATTTTGCTGACTTTATTGTAGAAGTTTAACACCAACTTTATAAGTATAAAAAACTATGTGAAAAAGCCAAAATTATATATAATAAAAAGTAAAGTAATTGTATGCGAAAGTCGTTCCTGGTATCTTACTTTGTAAACACACTGTAGTTTCGTAAAAAGAAATTATGAATTTTTGCATAGGATCAATATAGTATCACTTGATCGTTTGACACGATTACGATTATTTTTTACATCTTCTATAACACATCTTTCGGTATATTCAATATATTCATATTCAAACTGAGAAACATTTCTCAAAGGGTCAGCTTATCACAATCAATGAAACGTTATCAATTCGGGCCTACGTTATATTTACGCGAGACACGTATTTATTATATCTATGAGTCACGGAAACCTGCACGATTGCTATGTCAGACGCTCCGGGAAAAAGAGAGAAAGACAGAGATAGCGGTATGTAAATATTAATTTTTTTTCTGCTGCGGGAGAAGTTTCGAGGGTAAGATCCCTCGGGCAAGTCAAACGACATTTGTGCGTCGAAAAGACACTATTTCAAAGTATGGAATCTAATATAGGTTACTATTACGATATAAATAGAAAATTTTTGTCGTTTGTTGGTCAGTGGCCGTATCAGAAACCAAAGGAAAAACGGTCTTTCTTGATTTTCATACTCATAATTTTAATTAACATGATAATAACACAGGTAACATTAGCAGTCATTAAAAAATTTTTTGTGAATTTAAGTTTTAATAAAATTACACGATGGATTGAATAGATTTATCAGACTTCCAAGCATGCATTTTCATTGCATTTTTTGAATGTTTATTGTTTTTGCCGCGATCAACTTCATTTTTCAGATAGCACAATTTTTCATATGCGAAGACGCGCAGTGTATCTATCAAACTTTACCTCCACACATGTTAGTAATAGCGATATTGGTGAAAATATTTACATTTTATTTTAACACACAAAAGGTGGGATATGAATAATTTATATAATAATTTTGTCTCTTATTTTATTGTATCATATATAATTAAAATTTTCCTGCAAAATTTCAGCTTAGGATATTGTTATGGCGATTGACGATACTCTCTCTCTGTATCCGACATTTTAAATATATCGACAATACTTGCAGATTAAAGATCTTACGGATCGTTTGTCCACAAACTGGGATATGCTCGAGAATCAGGAAGAACGTGAGATTATGAAAAAATATACCGAAACTGGCAAATGGTACGGGGTGATATATATTTGTAAGTATTTATATAACCTCTTTTTTTATTTTAGTTAAAAAATATATTTTATAACTGTATATTATACAGAATCTCCGGATTAGAATATGTCTGTGCGAGTCAAAATGTTTTAAGATTAAAAAATTATTTTGTTACAAAAAAAAATTAATTTACCGGCTATTTTGTCTGATTATTATATAATGAAAAAAAAAGACATTTTCATGATACAAAAATACGAAATATATTAATGTAACAGCATTTTTTTAAAAGTAACATTATAAAGGGAGTCATAAGAAATATCTTTCACTCTGTTTTTGACGTGCAAATTTTGTTCTTGTTGTAGCTTATATTTATATAGGTTTTATCGTACTTTCAATGGCCGCTGTTGTGCCACACTTCTTGGACATCGTGTTTTCTTTGAACACTTCCCATCCGATAATGTTATTATACCCGGCTTATTACTTCGTTAATGAGGAGCAATATTTCTATTGTATTTATTGCCATATGATAGTTAGCGCGATATTAGCTTTGACTGGAGTAATCGCACACGACTGCATGCTCTTTGCCTACATCGAACATATTTGTGGCCTTTTTGCCGTAATTGGGTAATGTTTTTTGTGATTTATATTTATACCTTAGGATCAATCTAATTTGGCACTGAGAAAATTATAATAAAATTCTTTACTGAGAAAATACACAAACAATGAATAACGTAATAACAGTTTTAAAGCTCTATTGTATATTTGCTTGAAAGACAGAAATTAATAACTAATAATATAAAAAAATTTTGTTTAATATTTGAGTTGTGTGCACATTTTGCAGATTTCGATTTGAACATACATTGTATAAACGTAATAATGTGAAAAAGATGATGATTAATGATCTGGATGACGTATATTGCAAAAACATTGTGTTTGCAATTCATGCTCATCGAGAAACCTTGCAGTGAGTATGTAATAGTATTGTGATATGTGTTTTCTTTTTTTATTAATCTTAAGATCAAATAATGAACAATTTTTGATATTTGCGATAGATTTTATTATTTTATTATCTTTTAATTAATAATATTTTTAATATTTTTAACAAAATATTTTTACGCTATTATTTTATTGTTTCTTTTTACCTTAGATTTGCAATACTTCTTGAAAATACTTTTACGTTATCGTTTGCTATACAAATGCTGATGGTTACAGTTGGCATGAGCATTAGTTTAGTACAAGTGAGTTATTTATAATTGATAAATATATGAGAACTCTGACAAATATAATACAGATGTAAAGTATGATTTGTTCGTATTCAAGTTATCGATGCAGTTTCACAATTTCGCGGAAGCAACAAAATATATATTATTCCTTGGCGGTCAATTGTTCCACTTGTTTTGCTACAGCTTCGAAGGACAAAAATTGATAAATCATAGTTCCGAAACTTGTGACAAAATGTAAGATAATATAAAATCCGAAATAAATTTATTTTGCTCTAATAAAATATTTAAATTATAATTAAAATATGTATATTATTCTATATATTCTCTTTCGAAATATTGAAAAATATTCACAAGAATTTTATCTTTTCTTGTGACCATAATTATATTGTTATATTAATTTCGCTTACTTTGCGTATAATAAATTTTCTAGATATAATGGCTCATGGTATGAAATACCTGTAAGTGCGCAAAGATTGCTTTTGATGGTGATGAGAAAAAGCGTCGAAGCTAGTACCTTGACTGCTGGCAAGATATACATATTCTCTTTAGAAAATTTCACAACGGTAAAGCGATCATCGCGATAGATGCTATAATATCATAAGAATAAGCAAAGAAATGCCTAAAACCTTTTAACTTATCCATATTTAGGTCTTGCAAACTTCAATGTCGTATTTTACGGTTCTATCGTCCTTCGACGAATAAATCGACAGCCGACGATTATAGCATGTACAATGCGGAAATTATTGCTGAAATATTGTAGAGGAGTATAAATATATTATATCAAATAGAGAGCAATGAAAAAATTATATATTTATATTCTATATAATTTAGTATATAAAACATATATGTGCAAAAAGTAATAAAATATTATTTTGTTATCGATATGACGACCTACTTATTTCATACTTTTTTTTTCTCTGATTATATAGTAGTATTTTAATAATGGGGATCACACTGGCGTTGCACTTTTTCTCGAGAGTCACGAAAAGAACTCATGGCACAGTCGCTACCAATAATCGATATTATTTTCGTGATGTTATTTTACTCTAACTGATATTCTCTCTCCCTTTAAGAGAAACCTGGACACCGGCTCCGCTCGTCAATGGGGAGTTTCGTTACACTATATTTAGTGTCAAAGGAACAAATGATATGTCTGTCTATAAAATATATCAGCCGTTAATCCACGCAACATGCACGGTACTATTTTGTGAAAATCGAATGTATGTATAGCAGTTTTATTGTTATAGAGAGGTATATGTTTCTACTTTTAATTTCGTGTCTCATTCGAAAGGTTAAGGATAAGCCATGGGTCGTTCATTAGTCGATCTCACGGTGCTGAAGACACAGCGTTTCTTTAAAAATTATGGATCAGAATCATTATTACAATATTGTTTACAAAATATCATCGCTCACTGGTGTGTGGCCGTTTTTAAAACCAAGAGCAAGAGTATTTCGCGTTACTCTACTGACAATAGCTATTTTAACTATTTTCATCCCTCAGGTAAATCGATATATCTAACGTGATCAACGCAAAGAATTACTTGCAAAAGTTGGAAATAATATTTTCAGGTAGCGTATCAATTTACATGCAAGAAAGACTTGCACTGTATATTTGAGGGGAGTTCGTCGTATCTGTTGACGATGATGGCTACGATAAAGGTGTATACATTCCAATTAAATATTAGCACAGTACGTTTTATGATATACGTGTCGCGATTAAATATTCTTGCAGGGTTAAAAATCATAGTTTGAAAAAGGAAATAGAAAAAGGGAAAGTTCAAATTCTCTCTTAATACCTTTCTTATTGTATTTTCATGGACAATTTCATTAAATCGTGAGGAAAAAATTTTGCTATTAATCGATGTTTTGCCAGATTAAAAATCTTACCCGACACCTGTTTGCCGATTGGAAAAAAATCGGAAGTCCTGAAGAATACGAGATAATGAAGTCGTATGCCCAGAATAGTCGACGATTTTGTCTCATATATTCGGGTGAGGAATGAAACATATGTTCTATTCTCGCCGCACCCCTTTTGCGTTTCCGACCTTCGTCAATCTTAATTTGTACATTGCAGTATATTGCTCAATGGCGGTATTTATGTTTATGTCAATGTCTCTTATACCGTTCGTACTCGATATCGTATTGCCCCTCAATCAATCCCGTCCGGTGCTACCGACGTATCCGGGATACTATTTCGTGGACATTCGTGAACATTTCTTGCAAATTTTTTGGCACTCTCTCGTGGCCTGGCAGATTCTTATGACCGGTTTAATCGCCCACGATTGCATGTACGTGACTTACATCGAACATATTTGCAGCATGTTCGCCGTGATTGGGTAAGAACATGATTTATGATGCAAGCACGTATATAAAAATTGAATTAAAATGTTTTTTGTATGTAATTTCTCCGAAAAATATTGGTGGAATCGATGTATCGTACGAATTGCTTGCAGATTTCGTTTCGAGCAATTATTTCATTATTGCGATAAACCAATGGAAATTGTTGATATGAACAATATGTATCGCAAGAAAGTTGCGTTTATCGTGCATACGCACCGAGAATCCTTGAAGTAAGTGTATAAGAGCAAAATCTAACGTTTACAAATTAAAAAAAATATCCAGAAGCAACAACATTCATTCCACAATTATCTAATTTTTTATTTGTCACAGATTCGTGGAACTTCTAGAAAATACCTTCAATATACCTTTTGCCGCACAAATATTGATAGTAACAGTAGGGATGAGCGTTACCTTGTTACAAGTACTGATTAATTTATTATAAAATCGTATTCAAAATCTGCAAAAGATTTAAACATTAGTTTTTTTTTTTTCATATTGAAGATCTCACAGCAGGATAGCGATTTGCTGGAATTGATAAGATATGTATTATATGTCATTGGTCAACTGATCCATTTGTTTTTACTTAGTTTCGAGGGACAAAAACTGATAGATCATAGTCTTCAGACACGCGATAGGATGTAAGATGTTCGTTCTTGAATTGCTCAAAATATCGGATTTCTGCTATTTTTACATTTAACTCACGCGTTTTTGCAATATTGCAGATACAATAGCGCTTGGTACAAAACATCTACAAAATCGCAAAAGCTAATTATACTAGTGATGATGAAATGTTATCGGCCAAGCTTTTTAAGCGCCGGCAAAGTTTACATTTTTTCTCTGGAGAGTTTCACCGCGGTAAAGTATACATAATTGTCACAAATCCCACTTTGGAGCTTTCGTAATATATGATATATATGTGCGTATTTTATAGGTTCTACAAACTTCGATGTCATACTTCACGGTGCTCGCGTCCTTTCAGTAACTTGCAATATCCCTACATCCGACAAATATCATTTTAAACACATGTATCACGAAAACATCACACATTATGCTTAAATATTATATTATAATTACATAATTTTGTTAATCACGTAATATGTCAAATTTATATATCTAAATTACAAAAGTTTTTTCTTATCCTTAAGATATTATTGCAATCATGGTTTTAAACTATCGAAAATATTTACGTAGAAAAATTATTACATGCTTACATTTTTGTTTTTATTATTCCGAATGATGATCGAGTGATAATGATGCAACTCATGATATTAGGACATCATTAATATCAAGATCCAAAAATAAGAGATTCACGCAAAGTTCCAATATATATTTCTAAAAAATAAAAATGTTAAGGCCGCTGCCTGTGCCAAATATTTCCTTAAGAAAATAAAATATATATGTCAATATCACATGTCGGAGATCTGTTACATAGCAATTTCAATATGTCACATTTCGCAATATTCTGTATAGACACTATAGTCATTAAATTGCATAGATATCTAGAAAAAAACTTTACTTGGAAATTCTGATCGATACGCGCGTCAGAAATTCATCTCGCTCGTCGACAGGCCTTCATTCGCGTCACATTGTATGCGTTACGAGACATGACACGTGAAATTAAAGGTTTCCGATATGTGGTATTTTCACGTGACATTTTATTCTTCCGCTGAAACATCGATTCGTCCCTCTTTTTGGAAAATGAAACGAGAGATGTTGTTGACTGTGCGCCGTCGTAGGCGAAAGGTTTTGAGTATTCCTCTGAAAAACTATTATATCATATCATTACGGATTATGAAGTCCGTTTGGAATTATTATTACAGTATGACGAAGAGAATGCTGTTATTGGTTGGTCAGTGGCCTTATCAGAGAAGAAAAGAGAGATTGCTCCGTGTAACTGTGATGACTATGATTTCGCTTTCTATGATAGTTCCGCAGGTTGCTGTTTTCTATATCTAATAAAAGGAAAAAATTAAATTTAAAAAGAAGTGTTTAATTTAAATACGTAATGGTAACGATTTCTATGATCTCTATAAGTAACGACACTTTCAGATTGGCAAGTTTATTCAGTGCGACAGAGATGTGCAATGTATTTTAACGACTATACCGACGCATCTATTTCAAATTGTGGTTATAGTGAAACTATATGCATGCCAATTTAACAATAGCAAAGTAAAAATATAAAAATCTATATTACACGTTGATCAAAAAAATACTTTTTGAAATTTTTAAGATTACTCGTCACAATTACAGTCTTTCACAAATTTAATTATCTGATAAAATTTACGCGAGATATTTTTCTAGATAAAAGAACTCACTGATCAAGTGTATAGCGATTGGGAAAATTTGGAAATCCCGGAAGAATACGAAATTATGAAAACTTATGCTGCAAAAGCGAGACTGTTTTCTTTGATATATACGTGTAAGAATAAACCGTTCGATTCTCATTTTATGTATAACGAGAGATGGACGATTTATTTCGTATGTTGCAGCATATTATGCCATAGCTGCTCCTCTATTTATATTAATTACCCTTACACCGCAAATATTAGATATCGTTTTACCGCTCAACGAATCCCGTCCTATATTATTGCCTTACGAAGCGCACTACTTTGTCCACGATGACACGGAATACTTCTTTTACATTTTCTTCCACGCTCTTGTGGGTATAATCATAGTTTGTGTAGGATTACTCGCGCACGATTGTCTGATCCTGACTTATATCGAGCATGTCTGCAGCATTTTCGCCGTAGCTGGGTAATATTTTGTATTTTTCTTACAACTTTTTTATATAATAAAATTTATTCGAAACAGAGTCGAGATGTCTAAATGTTAGCAGATTTCGTTTTGAGAACTTGGCGTGTAGTGAGAATATTGATATGCCAAATAATAATTTAGAAAACATTTACAATCAAAAAATAGCATTGTCCATTCATACACACTGGCGAGCTTTACAGTAAGTATGTAACCTCGCTGTTACTACGCGCGGTCTTTGCTTAGCGTGACTTGGCGCGAGACACTACCGTGTCTCTTGATATGATATATAATGGGAAGTGTTATATCATAAAGTAAATTTATTTGCTACAGATTCGCGGAGCTTCTTGCAGATACCTTCTCTATAACTTTCATCATACAAATATTGATAATTACCGTAACGATGAGCGTTACCTTGTTAAAAGTATGTGCTTAATTGTTAAGAATATTGCACAGTTGAATTTACGATTTTTGCACATATTTCGATAATCGAATTATTACTCATACGGTTGCATTTAGCGCGAGAGAATAAGAAATTAAAATATATTTATCGTGTTTTCGAGATCGCAGGACAATCAAACGACAATATGGAAGTAGCGAGATACATAGCGTATGTTGTTGGACAATTGATTCATTTATTCTGCTTCAGTCTGCAAGGACAAAGACTGATAGATCACAGTCTACAAATACGTGACAAGATGTAAGACATTGATTTTAATTGTAAAATATATAAGTCCATCGATTCACAACAGAAATGGGAAAGCTTAGCGATCGTTGAAACACCTGTATTGTTGCAACATTGCAGATATAACGGCTTCTGGTACAAAATACCTGTGAAATCGCAAAGGATGCTTCTACACGTGATGAGAAAGTGTTTGCAGCCAAATTTTTTGACCGCTGGCAAGATTTATATTTTTTCCCTCAAGAGCTTCACTACGGTAAAGAATATATTTTTACGAATATTCTAACATTATAACGTATTTCTTTAATGTTCTTTTAAGAATCCTCGATACTCCTATTTTTGAAGGTACTACAGTCTTCGATGTCGTATTTTACCGTACTCGCATCCTTCGAATAATCAATAATCGATAATTGCTCCTGGATAGTATTTCTATATAAACATAATAATGTCATGACATAGACAATGATTTTCTTATTACATTATAAAATTATAATGTAATACATAATTATAATGTATACATAATCTTAATTCTCATTATATAAAAAGTTATCCTGTTATAACTGCACAACCACATATAATTAAAATATTGTTTAAATATAATCCTAAACTTTTATTGTTTTACGAACAAAACCAGAGAGTTACAATATTTTTAAATCCACTAATAAAGTTGGCACGCCCACCTATCCCATTGAAGACAATACACCACATTGTATTTAATTCATATATTATAATTATATACTTTTATTAATCATGTAATATTTATGTCATATTTATACATATATACAATTCATAAAATTTTTAAAAATCATCATTGTTAATCACATCTCCAAATTTCCAAAATTTATCTAAAACTTGCTACAAACTTTTCATCTTTATTTCCATTGTTTTAAGCAATGATTATCTGAAAAGCGATTTCACGTATCCGTTTCAGAATCCGATAATGAATCACGCAGTTCTAATCTATTCTTAAAAAAAGAATCAACATTAATGTAAAATATTTCCTTAAGAGAATAAATATGCGTATAGATATTAAACATTGAAAATTTTTTGTATTACTAATTTTGTGTTACATTCTACAATAATCTATACATATAGACACCATGGAATTTGTATCCCACCACTGAATACATATATATAGTTGCAATTTATTCTATAATATTAAAAAATCAATACGTCATGCACGGCAAAAAATACTACCCATTGACAGACATCCATTAACATATCCATTGTATGTATTACGGAGTGGGACATGCGAAATTAAACGTTTTCAACGTACAGTATCTTTACATAGTACTTTATTCTCCCTCCCTGATAAACTCATTCGTTCTTTACAATGTAAAACACGACGAAAAATTTAGTCGATTGCGCGCCGTCGTGGACAAAGTATCTCTCTGAAAACTATGGACTTCGTCTGGAATTATTATTACAGCATTACGAAAAGAATGCTATCATTAGTTGGTCAGTGGCCTTATCAGAAAAGAGGAGAGAGGTTGTTCCGAATGATTCTAGTGACTATGACTGAGCTTTCTGTGATGGTTACGCAGGTTGTTATAACCAGTTACGGATTTTTTCCCTATAATTGCGGATAAATAAAATTCAAAAATTGTTTGATTAAAATATAATGTACAAAACGTTGAGTTCTATAATCTGCTAACAACGTCGTTTTTAGGTGGGAAGACTCATTCAATGCGGCAAAAACGCACGATGTGTTTTAATAGGTATACCAACGTATCTAGTGCACACTGTAATTATGGTGAAGCTATTCACATGTCAATTTTATAGTAACAAAGTAAGATAATATGGAATTTTTTTTTATATTATCCATTAATCAAAACACAGTTTCTTGAGTTTCTACCACTATTCCCAATCTTCTACAGTCAATCGTAAATTATGTGTAAATATAGTTTCATAAGTTTTTAGGATTATTCATCGCAATCACAGAGCCCTACAATGGCTATTAAATTATCTAATAAAATGTAATAATTCTAGATTAAACATCTCACCGATCAACTATGTAGCGATTGGACAAATTTGAAAAGCTTGGAAGAATACGAAATTATGAAAATGTATGCAGCAAAAGCAAGATTGATTTCTTTGATTTATTCCTGTGAGGATAAATTATTCTAATCTGATTTTATATATATAACAGATATGATTTTTTTTGTTTTTGTTGCAGCATATTATTACATATGTTGTCCCCTGTTTATGCTATTTAGTCTTACACCGAAGGTATTAGATATCGTATTGCCCCTCAACGAATCCCGCCCTATATTAATGCCTCACGAATGTCACTATTTCGTTAGCGACGACAGAGAATACTTCTATTACATTCTTTTCCATGTTGTGATATCTATAATAATAAATATAACGGGTCTACTCGCGCATGATTGCATGATCTTGACTTACATCGAACACGTTTGCGGCATCTTCGCTGTGGCTGGGTAAGAATACTTCGTATTTTTCTTCTAGTTCTTTTAAAATAATAAGTTTTGGAAGCAAAGTTAAATGTTGATTTATTGTTTAATACATACATATAGATTTCGTTTCGAAAATTTGGCACATAATACCGACGTAGAGAGTAATAATACAAAGATATACAATCAAAAAATAGCATTATCCGTTCGTGCACATTGGCGAGCTTTACAGTAAGTATGTAATAATGTGTTTCTATATATGTATATAAGAATAAATAAACAAATGCTTATTGAAAAAAATTCTCAATATACATTGTTATAGTAACACTTATTTGCCATAGATTCGCGGAGCTTCTTGAAAATACCTTTTCTGTAGCTTTAGTTATACAAATGTTCATAGTTATCGTAGCGATGAGTGTCACCTTTGCGCAAGTACGTTCTTAATTGTTAAATGTATTGTAATTCAACTTGCGACATTTGCACATTTTGAGAATCAAGTTATTATCTACGTTTATATTATAATCATCTGACGAATAAGAAATTAAATTACATTTATTTTATTCGAGATGGCGGTGCAATTAGAAAACATTATTGAAACGACGAGATACATAGCATTTGTTGTTGGTCAGTTAATTCATATATTCTGCTTTAGTCTGCAAGGCCAAAAGTTGATAGACCACAGTTTACGAATGCATGATAAGATGTGAGATTCCAATTCTAAAATATATATATAATTTCACGACCGGTTAACAGCAAAAAAAATATGATCATTGAAATGCATAATACTGCAACTTTGCAGATATAAATGTGCCTGGTACAAAATACCCGTAAAATCGCAAAGATTGCTTCTAAACATCATGAGAAGGAGCATGCAACCGAATATTTTGAGCGCAGGCAGGATATATATTTTCTCATTGAAAAGCTTCATGACGGTAAAGAACAAATTTTCATATATATTCTGTGATGGTTACGCAGGTTGTTATAACCAGTTACGGATTTTTTCTCTATAATTGCGAATAAATAAAATTCAAAAATTGTTTGATTAAAATATAATGTACAAAACGTTGAGTTCTATAATCTGCTAACAACGTCGTTTTTAGGTAGGAAGATTCATTCAATGTGACAAAAACGCGCGATGTATCTTAATAGGTATACCGACGTATCTAATGTACACTGTAATTATGGTGAAGCTATTCACATGTCAATTTTATAGTAACAAAGTAAGATAATATGAAATTTTTTTTTTTATATCATCCATTAATCAAAACACAATTTCTTGAGTTTCTACGACTATTCCCGATCTTCTACAGTCAATCGTAAATTATGTGTAAATATAGTTTCATAAGTTTTTAGGATTATTCATCGCAATCACAGAACCCTACAACGGCTATTAAATTATTTAATAAAATTTAATATTTGCATTCTAGATTAAACATCTCACCGATCAACTATGTAGCGATTGGACAAATTTGAAAAGCTTGGAAGAATACGAAATTATGAAAATGTATGCAGCAAAAGCAAGATTGATTTCTTTGATTTATTCCTGTGAGGATAAATTATTCTAATCTGATTATACATATATAACAGATATGATTTGTTTCGTTTTTGTTGCAGCATATTATTACGTATGTTGTCCCCTGTTTGTGCTATTTAGCCTTGTACCGAAGATATTAGATATCGTATTGCCCCTCAACGAATCCCGCCCTATAATAATGCCTCAGGAATGTCACTATTTCGTTAGCGACGACAGAGAATACTTCTATTACATTCTTTTCCATGTTGCAATATCTATAATAATAATTATAACGGGACTACTCGCGCATGATTGCATGATCTTGACTTACATCGAACACGTTTGCGGCATCTTCGCTGTGGCTGGGTAAGAATAATTCGTATTTTTCTTCTAGTTCTTTTAATATAATAAGTTTAGGAAGCAAAGTTAACTGTTGATTTATTGTTTGAATACATGTAGATTTCGTTTCGAAAATTTGGCACATAATACCGACGTAGAGAATAATAATACAAAGATATACAATCAAAAAATAGCATTATCTGTTTGTGCACATTGGCGAGCTTTACAGTAAGTATGTAATAATGTGTTTCTATATATGTATATAAGAATAAATAAACCAATGCTTATTGAAAACAATTCTCAATACACATTGTTATAGTAACACTTATTTTACATAGATTCGCGGAGCTCCTTGAAAATACCTTCTCTGTAGCTTTAGTTATACAAATGTTTATAGTTATCGTAGCGATGAGTATCACCTTTGTGCAAGTACGTGCTTAATTGTTAAAAGTATTGCAATTCAACTTGCGACATTTGCACATTTTGAGAATCAAGTTATTATCTACGTTTATATTATAATCATCTGACGAATAAGAAATTAAATTACATTTATTTTATTCGAGATGGCGGTGCAATTAGAAAACATTATTGAAACGACGAGATACATAGCATTTGTTGTTGGTCAGTTAATTCATATATTCTGCTTTAGTCTGCAAGGCCAAAAGTTGATAGACCACAGTTTACGAATGCATGATAAGATGTGAGATTCCAATTCTAAAATATATATATAATTTTACGACCGGTTAACAGCAAAAAAATATGATCATTGAAATGCATAATACTGCAACTTTGCAGATATAAATGTGCCTGGTACAAAATACCCGTAAAATCGCAAAGATTGCTTCTAAACATCATGAGAAGGAGCATGCAACCGAATATTTTGAGCGCAGGCAGGATATATATTTTCTCATTGAAAAGCTTCATGACGGTAAAGAACAAATTTTCATATATATTGTAATGTTATATAACATGTTTTTATAAAATTATTTTTAAAAATTTACTATTATTTTAAAGGTTCTACAATCTTCGATGTCATATTTTACCGTACTCGCGTCCTTCCAGTAATCAATGATCAATATACTCAAATAGTATTTATGTACAAGTTTAGTATTATGTGACAATAGATTATTGCATTTAAAAGAATGTATATACGTACCTTTAAATCTCATTTAAAAAATTATCTTATGCGCGCTGTCAAAAACATTGCCGTAATTTTAAGTTTTCCAAGTTTTACAAGTGAATACTAAACCAATGTTAGCGAATGAAGAAATGAGCGCAAAATTGTCAAATTTATATATCTAACTTGCAAAAACCTTTTCTTATATTTAAGATATTATTGTAATCATGGTTTCAAACTTTCAAAAATATTTACCTGAAAAAATTATCATAATCATTTTATTTTTGTTTTTATTATTCCGAGTAATCGAGTGATACTGAAGCAACTCACGATATCAGGACATCATTCATATCAAGATCCAGCAATAACAGATTCACGCAAAGTCCCAATAGATATTCTTAGAAAATAAAAATGTGAAGGCCGTTGCCTGTGCCAAATATTTATTTAAGAAAATAAAATATATATGTCAATATCGCATATCGGAGATCTGTTACAAGCAATTTCAGTATGTCACACTTCGCACACACTTTGGTGTATCATGTCTCGCAATAATCTATATACAGACATCCTAGTATTTACATCGGACAACTAAATATAAGAATAGAAGGCTGGGTATGCATTTATTTCTTTAGATATTATAATCGATACATTCCGCACGATAACACATCATCTCTACCACTTGACAGGTTGTCATTTACTATCGCAGTGTATGCATTACGTAACGTGACACGTGAGATTAAAGGTTTTCATGTAAGTAACATGTAGTATTTTCACATATGACACTCTATTCTTTTCTAGTGAAATATTTGTTTGTTCTTTACATCGGAAAACGAGACCAAAAAATGTAATCGACTACGCACCGTCGAGGATAAAGTATCGCTCAAAAAGCTATGGAGCTCGTCTGGAATTATTATTACAGCATTACGAAAAGAATGCTATCATTAGTTGGTCAGTGGCCTTATCAGAAAAGAGGAGAGAGGTTGTTCCGAATGATTCTAGTGACTATGACTGAGCTTTCTGTGATGGTTACGCAGGTTGTTATAACCAGTTACGGATTTTTTCTCTATAATTGCGAATAAATAAAATTCAAAAATTGTTTGATTAAAATATAATGTACAAAACGTTGAGTTCTATAATCTGCTAACAACGTCGTTTTTAGGTAGGAAGATTCATTCAATGTGACAAAAACGCGCGATGTATCTTAATAGGTATACCGACGTATCTAATGTACACTGTAATTATGGTGAAGCTATTCACATGTCAATTTTATAGTAACAAAGTAAGATAATATGAAATTTTTTTTTTTATATCATCCATTAATCAAAACACAATTTCTTGAGTTTCTACGACTATTCCCGATCTTCTACAGTCAATCGTAAATTATGTGTAAATATAGTTTCATAAGTTTTTAGGATTATTCATCGCAATCACAGAACCCTACAACGGCTATTAAATTATTTAATAAAATTTAATATTTGCATTCTAGATTAAACATCTCACCGATCAACTATGTAGCGATTGGACAAATTTGAAAAGCTTGGAAGAATACGAAATTATGAAAACGTATGCAGCAAAAGCAAGATTGATTTCTTTGATTTATTCCTGTGAGGATAAATTATTCTAATCTGATTTTATATATATAACAGATATGATTTTTTTTGTTTTTGTTGCAGCATATTATTACATATGTTGTCCCCTGTTTATGCTATTTAGTCTTACACCGAAGGTATTAGATATCGTATTGCCCCTCAACGAATCCCGCCCTATAATAATGCCTCAGGAATGTCACTATTTCGTTAGCGACGACAGAGAATACTTCTATTACATTCTTTTCCATGTTGCAATATCTATAATAATAATTATAACGGGACTACTCGCGCATGATTGCATGATCTTGACTTACATCGAACACGTTTGCGGCATCTTCGCTGTGGCTGGGTAAGAATACTTCGTATTTTTCTTCTAGTTCTTTTAAAATAATAAGTTTTGGAAGCAAAGTTAAATGTTGATTTATTGTTTAATACATACATATAGATTTCGTTTCGAAAATTTGGCACATAATACCGACGTAGAGAATAATAATACAAAGATATACAATCAAAAAATAGCATTATCTGTTTGTGCACATTGGCGAGCTTTACAGTAAGTATGTAATAATGTGTTTCTATATATGTATATAAGAATAAATAAACCAATGCTTATTGAAAACAATTCTCAATACACATTGTTATAGTAACACTTATTTTACATAGATTCGCGGAGCTCCTTGAAAATACCTTCTCTGTAGCTTTAGTTATACAAATGTTTATAGTTATCGTAGCGATGAGTATCACCTTTGTGCAAGTACGTGCTTAATTGTTAAAAGTATTGCAATTCAACTTGCGACATTTGCACATTTTGAGAATCAAGTTATTATCTACGTTTATATTATAATCATCTGACGAATAAGAAATTAAATTACATTTATTTTATTCGAGATGGCGGTGCAATTAGAAAACATTATTGAAACGACGAGATACATAGCATTTGTTGTTGGTCAGTTAATTCATATATTCTGCTTTAGTCTGCAAGGCCAAAAGTTGATAGACCACAGTTTACGAATGCATGATAAGATGTGAGATTCCAATTCTAAAATATATATATAATTTCACGACCGGTTAACAGCAAAAAAAATATGATCATTGAAATGCATAATACTGCAACTTTGTAGATATAAATGTGCCTGGTACAAAATACCCGTGAAATCGCAAAGATTGGTTCTAAACATCATGAGAAGGAGCATGCAACCGAATATTTTGAGTGCAGGCAGGATATATATTTTCTCATTGAAAAGCTTCATGACGGTAAAGAACAAATTTTCATATATATTGTAATGTTATATAACATGTTTTTATAAAATTATTTTAAAAAATTTACTCTTATTTTAAAGGTTTTACAATCCTCGATGTCATATTTTACCGTACTCGCGTCCTTCCAGTAATCAATGATCAATATACTCAAATAGTATTTATGTACAAGTTTAGTATTATGTGACAATAGATTATTGCATTTAAAAGAATGTATATACGTACCTTTAAATCTCATTTAAAAAATTATCTTATGCGCGCTGTCAAAAACATTGCCGTAATTTTAAGTTTTCCAAGTTTTACAAGTGAATACTAAACCAATGTTAGCGAATGAAGAAATGAGCGCAAAATTGTCAAATTTATATATCTAACTTGCAAAAACCTTTTCTTATATTTAAGATATTATTGTAATCATGGTTTCAAACTTTCAAAAATATTTACCTGGAAAAATTATTATAATCATTTTATTTTTGTTTTTATTATTCCGAGTAATCGAGTGATACTGAAGCAACTCACGATATCAGGACATCATTCATATCAAGATCCAGCAATAACAGATTCACGCAAAGTCCCAATAGATATTCTTAGAAAATAAAAATGTGAAGGCCGTTGCCTGTGCCAAATATTTATTTAAGAAAATAAAATATATATGTCAATATCGCATATCGGAGATCTGTTACAAGCAATTTCAGTATGTCACACTTCGCACACACTTTGGTGTATCATGTCTCGCAATAATCTATATACAGACATCCTAGTATTTACATCGGACAACTAAATATAAGAATAGAAGGCTGGGTCTGCATTTATTTTTTTAGATATTATAATCGATACATCCCGCACGATAACACATCATCTCTACCACTTGACAGGTTGTCATTTACTATCGCAGTGTATGCATTACGTAACGTGACACGTGAGATTAAAGGTTTTCATGTAAGTAACATGTAGTATTTTCACATATGACACTCTATTCTTTTCTAGTGAAATATTTGTTTGTTCTTTACATCGGAAAACGAGACCAAAAAATGTAATCGACTACGCACCGTCGAGGATAAAGTATCGCTCAAAAAGCTATGGAGCTCGTCTGGAACTATTATTACAGCATTACGAAAAGAATGCTATTGTTGGCCGGTCAGTGGCCTTATCAGAAACGAAGAGTGAGGTTGTTTCGACTAACTCTAGTAACTATGACCGAGCTTTCTGTGATGATTCCACAGGTTGCTGTATCTATTTATAAATTTTCTGTCAATAATTGTAAAAATAGAATTAAAAAATTATTCGGTTAAAATGTGACATAAATGTTGACGAGCTCTATAAAACAATGTTTTAGATAGGCAAATTTATTCAATGTGACAGAGACATGCATTGTATTTTTATGATATTACCGACATATCTAATGCATATTGTGATTATGGTAAAGCTATATACGTGTCAATTTAACAGTGACAAAGTACGATAATACAAAAATTTATATTATGTATTGTTTAAAAAATGTTTTCTTAAATTTTTATTATTGTTTATCACGCTCATAATTTTTTTGCGGTTTTCGTTAAATTATCTGAAATTTGATATCTATGTAAGCTACTTTTCTAGATTAAAGACCTTACTGATCAGTTGTATAGCCATTGGAAAAATTTGGAAAGCCCGGAAGAGTACGAAATTATGAAAACGTATGCAGCAAAAGCGAGATTGTTTTCTTTAATATATTCCTGTAAGGATAAATCGCTCTATCTATATTTTATATAAAACGGATGTAAAAAGATTCCATTTTGTTTGTATTGCAGCGTATTATATCATATGTTGTCCTATGTTTGTATTTGTTTCTCTCACACCGCAAATATTAAATATCGTGTTACCGCTCAACGAATCCCGCCCTATGTTAATGCCTTATGAAGCCCATTATTTCGTCCACGATGACAGAGAATACTTCTATTACATTTTCTTTCACGCTCTTGTAGCTATACTAATAGTTATAACGGGTATACTCGCGCATGATTGTATGATCCTGACTTATGTCGAACATGTCTGCAGCATTTTCGCTGTAGCTGGGTAAGTTTATACTAGTACTTTTTATGTTGTTTTTATGTAAGAAATTTAGGCAAGAAATTTAGGAATGTCTAAATGTTTGCAGATTTCGTTTCGAAAACTTGGCATGTAATAAAGATACAGATTTGATAAATAATAATCTAATTAATATGTACAATCAAAAAATAGCTATCTCTGTGCATACACACTTGCAAGCCTTACAGTAAGTATAAAGTATACTCTGTATCTCTGAAAGATGAATAAATTAATAAATGCTTATTAAGTGCGAGAAGATTTTTAATACAAGATATTTTCGTAATATTTGTAGATTCGCGGAACTTCTGGAAGATGCTTTCTCCATAACTTTCGCCATACAAATAGCGATAGTTACCGTAGCGATGAGTATCAGTTTATTGCAAGTACGTATTTATTTAATAAGAATATTGTAATTCAACGTGCGAGGTATGCGCATTTAGAGAATAGAGTAACTATTCACGTTTATAATTAACGAAAGTTTGAAAGATTAACATATATTTTCCGCATTCGAGTTAGCAGTACAATTAGATGATACTCTGGAAATGATGAGATATACGGCATTTGTCGTTGGTCAATTGATTCATTTATTTTGCTTCAGTCTACAAGGCCAAAGATTGTTAGACCACAGTTTAAAAATACACGATAAGATGTAAGATGACGATTTCAATTCTAACATCTATAAGTCTGTCATCGATTCATGGTAAAATTTAAAAAATTGATCATTGAAATGCATATCTCGTTACAATATTGCAGATACAATTGCTCTTGGTACAATATACCTGTCAAATCGCAAAAGTTACTTCTAAACGTAATGAGAAGGAGCTTGCAACCGAATATTTTGAGCGCCGGTGGAATTTATATTTTTTCCTTAAAAAGTTTCACTACGGTAAAAAATATGTTTTCACAAATATTGTAAAATTATATAACATGTTTTTATAAAATTATTTTAAAAAATTTACTATTATTTTAAAGGTTCTACAATCTTCGATGTCATATTTTACCGTACTCGCGTCCTTCCAGTAATCAATGATCAATATATTTAAATAGTATTTATGTACAAGCTTGATAATATTATGTGATAATAGATTATTGCATTTAAAAAAATGAGTATACGTACCTTTAAGGGGGCACGCCTACCTAGAAATTTTCAAAAAATCGGTTTCTGGATTTTGACATTATCTTCTAATGCAACATCTTGAAAGTATTCTCAAAAAATTACCACAATTATTTTATTTTTGTTTTTATTATTTCGAGTGATGATCGAGTGATAATGAAACAACACACAATATCAGAACATCATTAATATCAAGATCCAGCAATGAGAGATTCATGTAAAGTCTCAATATATATTCTTAGAAAATGAAAATGGAAAGGCCGCTACCTGTGCAAAATATTTCCTTAAGAGAATAAAATATATATGTCAATATCACCTGTCGGAGATCTGTCGCATAGCAATTTCAATATGTCGCACTTCGCAATATTCTGCATAGACACTATAGCCATTAAATTTCATGGACATATAGAAAAAAACTTTACTTGGAAATTCTGATCGATACGCGCGACAGAAACTCATCTCGCTCATCGACAGGCCTTCATTTGCGTCACATTGTATGCGTTACGAGGCATGACACGCGAAATTAAAGGTTTCCGACGTGTGGTATTTTCACGTGACATTTTATTCTCCCGCTGAAACATCGATTTGTCGCTTTTTCTGGAGAACGAAACGAGAGATGTAGTCGACTGTGCGCCATCGTAGGCGAAAGGTTTTGAGTATTCTTCTAAAAAATTATTATAACATATCATTACGGATTATGAAGTCCGTTTGGAATTATTATTACAGTGTGACGAAGAGAATGTTGTTATTGGCTGGTCAATGGCCTTATCAGAGAAGAAAGGAGAGATTGCTTCGAGTGACTTTGATGACTATGACTTCGCTTTCTATGATAATTCCACAGGTTATTATTCTTTATATCTAATAAGAAAAAAATTAAATTTAAAATAAAGTGCTTATTTTAAATAAATGATGGTAACGATTTTTACAATCTCTACCAGAAACGATGCTTTCAGATTGGCAAGTTTATTCAGTGCGGCAGAGATGTGCAATGTATTTTAACGACTATACCGTTGTATCTATTTCAAATTCTGTTTATAGTGAAACTATATGCATGCCAATTTAACAATAGCAAAGTAAAGATATACAAATTTATATTACATGTTGACCAAAAAATGCTTTTTGAAATTTTTAATATCGTTCATCACAATTACAGTTTTTCACAAAATTAATTACTTGATCAAATTTACGCAAAATATTTTTTTAGATTAAAGATCTCACTGATCAGGTGTATAGCGATTGGGAAAGCTTGGAAATCCCGGAAGAATACGAAATTATGAAAACTTATGCTGCAAAAGCGAGACTGTTTTCTTTGATATATATATGTAAGAATAAACCGTTCGATTCTCATTTTATATATAACAAAAGATGGACGATTTATTTTGTATGTTGCAGCATATTATGCCATAGCTGCTCCTCTATTTATATTAATTGCCATCACACCGCAAATATTAGATATCGTTTTACCGCTCAACGAATCCCGCTCTATATTAATGCCTTATGAAGCCCATTATTTCGTTCACGATGACAGAAGATACTTCTATTACATTTTATTTCACGCTTTTGTAGCTGTACTAATAGTTATAACGGGTGTACTCGCGCACGACTGTATGGTCTTGACTTATATCGAGCATGTCTGCAGCATCTTCGCTGTAGCTGGGTAAGTTTACTAGTATTTTTTATGTTCTTTTTATATAAGAAATTTAGGCAAAATATTTAGGAATGTCTGAATGGTTGCAGATTTCGTTTCGAAAACTTGGCATATAATAAAGATACAGACTTGATAAATGATAATCTAATTAACATGTACAATCAAAAGATAGCTATCTCTGTGCATGCACACTGGCAAGCCTTACAGTAAGTATATAAAGGATACTCTGTATCTCTGAAAGATGAATAAATTAATACATGCTCATTAAGTGTAAGAAGATTTTCAGTACAAGGTGTTTTCATAATATTTGTAGATTCGCAAAACTTCTGAAAGATACTTTCTCTATAACTTTCGGCATACAAATTGTGATAGTTACCGTAGGGATGAGTATTAGTTTACTGCAAGTACGTGCTTATTTATGTAATAAGAATATTGTAATTCAACGTGCGATGTATGTGCATTTAGAGAATAGAGTAACTATTCACGTTTTTAATTAACGAAAGTTTGAATGATTAACATATATATTTACCGCGTTCGAGATGGTAGTACAAGATGATACTCTGGAAACGATGAGGTATATGGCATTTATCATTGGTCAATTGATTCATATATTTTGCTTCAGTCTGCAAGGCCAAAGATTGATAGACCACAGTTTAAAAATACGCGATAAGATGTAAGATGACCCCAATTCTAATATCTATAAATCTACGATCGGTTCACGAAATTTAAAAAAATTGGTCATTGAAATGCATATCTCGTTACAATATTGCAGATACAATTGCTCTTGGTACAATATACCTGTCAAATCGCAAAAGTTACTTCTAAACGTAATGAGAAGGAGCTTGCAACCGAATATTTTGAGCGCCGGTGGAATTTATATTTTTTCCTTAAAAAGTTTCACTACGGTAAAAAATATGTTTTCACAAATATTGTAAAATTATATAACATGTTTTTATAAAATTATTTTTAAAAATTTACTATTATTTTAAAGGTTCTACAATCTTCGATGTCATATTTTACCGTACTCGCGTCCTTCCAGTAATCAATGATCAATATATTTAAATAGTATTTATGTACAAGCTTGATAATATTATGTGATAATAGATTATTGCATTTAAAAAAATGAGTATACGTACCTTTAAGGGGGCACGCCTACCTAGAAATTTTCGAAAAATCGGTTTCTGGATTTTGACATTATCTTCTAATACAACATCTTGAAAGTATTCTCAGAAAATTACCACAATTATTTTATTTTTGTTTTTATTATTTCGAGTGATGATCGAGTGATAATAAAGCAACTATATCAGGACATCATTAATATCAAGATCCAGCAACGAGAGATTCATGTAAAATCTCAATATATATTTTTAGAAAATAAAAATGTAAAGGCCGCTACCTGTGCAAAATATTTCCTTAAGAGAATAAAATATATATGGAGCGAGGGGGGGATTTAAGGCGGGTGGAGGCACGAACCAAGCATCCCATCTCTTCCGTGGCACGGCCCTGGCGTGTCTTTTTTGGGGGGTTACACACTTCCTCAGCCCG